GCCCCCCCCCCGTTTATTAATTCCTGGCTACGCGGCCCTGTATTCTATATTTATGCTTTAACAATGGGAGTGCTCCCCCCGGGGCGAGGTTATAACATGAAGAAAATTGCTACTCTGACTCGGCTCTGACTATTTTCCTAATCTATTTCACATTCAAGATTCAACTGCCGTTCTGTTTACCTCTGTTCATTTTACACCCCCGGGCGTAAAATGAGAACAGACACATTATTGGAGTAGGAAGAATGAGTCACGCAGCGCTTGAGTATGAACCATAGAAATACAGAGATACACCTATATTCTAGTCTACATATTGAGTATGAACCATAGAAATACAGAGATACACCTATATTCTAGTCTACATATATTATTTATATGGTATGAACCATAGGTATGAACAGAGCACGTGCTCTGGTATGAACATGAACATGAATGAACGTTTGCGCTATATGGCCGCCCTCTAGTGTCTGGCGTACGCTACGGTACGCCACTTGTTTACGTTGAAGAAATTTGTCGTTACCAGTTTCGTGTTTGTTTACTATTCGTACTAGATGTTGTAGTGTATCAAAACACATACAGCTGAAATTTATAATTTCACTTGTAGAATATGTGCTAGAGGTTTTACTAATTTCATATGCGGATACCTATCTTTCAAAGCGATAGGCGTAAAGTATTATCGTCACAAAGTAAACATGGATGAAAAGCCAGGTATCACAGAAGTTGTGAAGGCTGAAGCGAACAAGGAATCGGAAAGTAACCCAGACAAGCAGACACTTCTCGCCGTGCTTCAGTTCCTTAAAAAACACAATCTCAAAGACACGCAGGAATTGCTACAGAAGGAAGCTAAATTAAAAGTAGACGACGATAGCAATAATACCGTTGCACAGACGAACTCTGAAGTTTCTGCTGCCCTTAGTGCATACAAAAGGTTGGCAGTGAAAGTCGAAGCTCTGTGTCTGAAGGCCCACTCCCTCCGAGTCCTAGACACACTAGCATTATCATAGATAATACCCACAATGACAACCATAACCTTGTCCTAGCCCTTGTGTCTAGTCAACCTGTCGGACTGTCCCAAACAGGCATACTAATTCCCCTAACTATAGCGCATACATGTTGACAGGAGTAAATAAACACAAGGCAGTGTGCAAGGCTTAAGTATTGGGAATCCAACGTTTGCTTCAACAAAACTCGAGCCCAAAATGTACTGTAATCATTTATCTGGTGTCGTATGTAATTGGTTTTCCATACACGCTCAGAACCCGCAGATATAGACTAAAATGAACAGCACGATTTTCGAAAAAATCTCCCAACGAAATCATTGCCACTCACTACATTTTCTAAAAGTAGCTTTGCTTATAGATAGCCTATAATGCACTTGGCCGGCACTGCGCATACACCTAAGGCAAGCGAGCATTAGATTCCCAGTAATTAATCCTTGTACACTCTTTTGTTTTTATGCAATGCTGTTATATGCTGTGCTTTGTTTTAATGGATGCATTTGGGTAATAGAAGCAGTATTACGTATGTGTAGAGACTGGGAATTTTCATCCCTTTTCATGTTAAAATATCTAATCAAATCATTTAACACAAATGATTTCATGGACAAGTTTCACGTTACACATAATTTCTCTCTGCTTCGTTCGGCAGTGAAGGAGATCCAAGCATATATGAGGATCAGTACTTGACGATCAGGGAGTTTATTGAAGAATCTCTGGACACGTACAAGTGCGAGCTCTCGATGCTGTTGTATCCATTGTTTGTGCATCTCTACCTCGAGTTGGTTTACAATGAACATGAGAGCAAAGCCAAACGCTTCTTTATTAGGTTTAGTGCACAGCAGGAAGATTACCTGCAGGTATAGTTGTTCAAATACAGTTTTTATGATGACCAACCAATCTTCACTTTCCTTTTTGGTCTGTGCCTGCATTGGTCTAATATGTTTTACATTTTTAATTAGTGCTGTTTTAATTTGATTTACATTAAAAGAACACATTTAAACAGGATTATTTATATAATAATACAATATCAATTACTGAATGGAAGTTCCATTGTTGAGCAAAATATTTGCAATGATGGATGATGATAAGCATGTGTTTCGAAATGTAGGAGGATCTCAGACAGTTGAGGATGGTGACCAAGAAGGAGCATATGGAAGAAAACGAGCACATCATGGAAAACTTTAGGTTTACAACATTGTTAGATTGAGTGATGGATGTATTTTTTCTTTGTAGCGAACGTAGACATATGCGGCCATGTTGATCTTTAAAGGCATAATAAGCCCATTGCTTATGCAATGTTGATGAATGCTAGAGTAACTGGCACCTTGTGTAGTTAATATGTACATTACCTTATAGCCAAACGCGTATTAGTTTGTCCAATATCAATGCTGGTTACTAAGAAATGTCTAATTGAAATCCGCAGTCCAAGAAATCGGTTGACTGAGTTGTTTACAGTTTCCATGCAGTTTCAAACCGCTGGGTGTCATACAGATTTATAGTGCACCGGACATTTTCACACGCATGCTCGGCAGTACGCAATTCTATCGTCAGTGTTTTCGTAAACATGGACGCTCGTGATAAGGAACTTTTTGTCAGGGCTGACCACGTGCGTCCTAGATTAGTACGTGTGTTTTACTCCATTTCTATGTTTAGTCCGTGGCCGTGGTTACACTGCTGACACCTCCATTTCATCTGGCATCCAAAACATACGGGCCGCACAAATGTTTACGTCATCGCTTGACTCCTGGATGACATTTACGGCACGTAAATGATACGTTGATACATATCAATAACCGATTTCAAGTCTTGTTTGTAATGTAACCAGCAGCAGGCTTTCATTTTTAAGGGGCGCGATTCTGCTCGCGCTCTACCGCGCACCCGAAATGGTGCCATGGTGCGCGCATCATCGCGCCTCATAAAAGTGGTTGAAATCGCGCACCAAAAGTATGTCTATTATGTTGAAATAGCGCTCCATAGAGTTCTCAATGTAGGGGGGTACAAAAAGGTTAGCAACACACAACAATTTGTGGTGTGTAAGTAACTGAACGTATGGCAGAGGTACAGGTCTGCATGGTTACTACCCTCTGGTTTATATATATAT